CGCTATGCCAATGTGTCATATTAATATTGTACATATTCATCTTATCAAAAGTTAATTCTATGTAGAGCTGAATGTCCAACTCATTGTACCTTTTTGGAGGTGGTCCTAAATATTCACACATGTTGGATTTCCGATCATAGCGTTTATAACTAAGCGGTATTTCTCCATTTTCAGCACATGTTAATTTTACTATTTTCTTCATGAATTTTCATATTTTTTCCATTATTATATGTATGTCGTATACATTTTTCTTACGGATAACGCATATCCAGTCACTTCTATGTCTTTCCTGGATTTGGTGGCATACATATATGGTATGAGATATATATATGAATTTCGAAATCAATTTACTTTGAACCTCTCTATACAAATTGAATATTGTTAGAGTGTTAGAACACACTTAGTAGAATATTAATGATCAGCTCGTGGTTACAATTGCAATATAGAAATTTTATTTTATTTTAATATTCAATTTTTTATTATTTAATTGAAATCATGTGAATAAAAATATAATTATAATTTATTAATAGAAAAAAACCAACGAGGAAAATAAATAGATGTAATTGTCATGTCACAAGAACAAAAAATAATTATAAGTTAAAAAACTAATAATTTTCTCTATAAAATGTATTAAATTTGTACTAGTTTATTTTATCTTAACTCGCTTGCATTTACTCGTTCATTAATAACTAGTTTGAACTAGTTTTATCAAAAATATTTTGCTTTCAATTAAAAATGTTTAAAAAATGACTAGCCGACAAGCACAAAATAAGCGTTCATTTTACTTAATTATATATTGTATGATTATTTTCTATGTAGTATTATTAACAAAAAAAAACAAAAATTGTATACATTTTGCTAATAACTTAACATGCACTTTAATCAACCAATAAATCTTAACCCAAATGACAGCCGATAGTCGCCAAACTGGCTACTGTAACACTTGCACACCGCCATGTGACATGAAACGAATGTACAGTCAATTTATGAATGCTGATTACTCTTTGATATGAAAATAATTAATAAATTTTAGACTGTGCCGTTATAGATGAAAAACAGGAAGGAATCTATTGGGCCATTTATGAATAAAATATCAATTTATTTTATATAATATAATAAAACAGATTAAGATAATTACAAATTTATGTTGTTGTAATTTACTACTATTCGAAACCTCTCTGATAATTACTAATGAAAAAACATGGGTAAAGATACGATTCCATTCTGATCAAGAATCGGACTTAGTACCACCAAATAGCTTTTATTAAACCGAATAAACTAAACCAAGAGATTTATTTAGATTCATCCGAAAACCTAAATTTTCCTGGTTGTTTAAAAGATTTTCTTGGGTATAGCACTATAGATCTTATAGTTCGCAGAATACTATTATTCTTTCTATAAGGTCTTAATTGAACCTTGTAACAAACAACTTTAAACAGACTTATATATAAAAAACAAATATTAATATTAAATTTGATAATTTAATAATAATAATAATAGTAAATATTTAATAATATTTTAATAAAAATTTAAATTTGTATAATAACACAAATAATTGCTTCATTAAATTTGAAAATTAGGAGAGTATATATGTCTCTATATACAAAATAATTATGGTTATATATAAGAGTCTGTTTAAAATCTAATAATGCTTATCTGAAATTGGCTATACACCAATTTATTTATACTGTAGACCAACTGAATGTGATAGTTCCCTTCCTTGTATTTAATATTTATAAAACTCGCTTACACTACATATATTTTTTGCAGGATTTCAGTCCTCTAACTGAACTCAGCACTTTGGGGTTGCCCATTCGCAACTCTGGATAGCATCACTAAGGATGCAATTTCATGCGTAATGATTTCCCCAACTAATTGACCTTACTGTACCTTTCTAATTTACCTTATATATTATTTTTTTTATTTTGAAAGAACCATAGGAAGGGCAATTAATATTTTTTCAGCAGTGCTTATATCTGTTGAATTTTTAAAGGTAATACAGAGCATAAAAATTAAAAGTCATTACATTCTGGAAGACAATTAAATAAAATAAATTAAGCAAAATATATAGAAAATTAACTAAATGCTTTAGCAACTTCTTCCACATAAAAATAAATTATAAAAAAATAATTTAAATCCTAAAGTATCAACACATCAAACAATAAACATATAATTTATGAATTATAAAAATTTTTCATACCCACCTGTGATTTCAAGTACAAGTGACACCTACTCACCATTTAAAGAGGAAAGTATATACTACTCTTTATATACTGTTTATTTTCCCCATTGTGGTTCAGAGCATTGAAGATGATTTTAAACGCTACAATACTGGGAGTTTCTCTGTATAGATTGTTCTATGAGTATTTTGTTTCCAATAGCTTCTTTTTACCTCTTCTATTTTCCTTAGTGAGACATAGATGTTTTTTTTAATATCAGACTGTTGGGAGTTTGTTTGTATATATTGTTCTATGTGTATTTTGCTTCCAATACCTGTGTTTCTCTGTGTATATTGTTCTACCAGTATCTTGCTACCGGTATCTTTTTATAATGATTTACCTTTAAATCATAATCAATGTACCTGTCCGTCCTATACATATATTGAATTAGTTCATTCAAAATAATTACCAAATTTGAAAATAGTTATTTAAATATCGTTCTGTTGGATGATTCTTTTTCGACATTTTCATTCATTATCATTCAAACTTTTTAACATATTTGAAAATAGCTATTTGAGTCCCATTCTATTGGATACTTATCTGTCTATATTTTTTTTAAAGTTTGCAGTATTTCCGATGTTATTTTTTTGCCTATAAATCTTTGTGTGACCAATATGTTCTTGCAGGATCCATAAAAGAAAAAAGTAGTTCCATTTATTAAAATAGCTATAAGAAAATTAGAAATTGAATTAAATTAAAATTTGCTCTCTATGTTAACATTGACCAACATTAATCTTATCGAACTAGATTTAAAATGATTAGATTTATTGGACTGTCACAGTTTTTTTAATATAGTTATTATATTTTCTATCGTCATTATAGGAAAACACTGCATTTCTTGGTTTCTCTACTACTCTGTATTTTATAAAGAGTACTAATATATATATCAACTAATATATATATCAACTTATATATATATCAACAAAAGAATTAATAAAACGGATGAAATACCTATATTCGTGGCAGGAAGTGATTGTAAATTAAGAGTATGTTTACCATTATTTTTTTTAGATGTACACTATCTGCTGATACACAAAGTTTCTATAATAATATCCTAAAGGTGTTCACAAAATAATGCATGGAATTAAATTTTTATTACATCGCATTCGTTCCATTGATCGATACATCGATCAGCTCAATTTACAGGCTCACCTTGTTATGGCTATTTTTGTAACGCTAGTTTGTTGCTGTTGCAATTGCTGCTGGACTGTCTTAAGCAATTGCATGAAAAGTGAATCTATGATATTCACAAACTGCAGTTGCAACTAAAACAACAGCAAACAGCAGCTGCAACAATGCTTTCATTTACTTACGTACACAGCGCCGCGCCGTATAAAAATGTTGACTAAAACCTGTAATTTTTTAGGCAATATCTCAACAAAGCGGTTAACTTAAAATATTATATTTTTATATATCTATATAAGTTTAAAGCACGCATATACTAAATAATAATTGCAATAATAAACAAGTTCATTTATTATTCTTATAACGTTTAAATTGCTTTCAAGCGAACATAGCTTAAACACACCCAACCAACCGCGCTTATAGTGATCAACCGCGCTTATAGTGATCAACCGCGCTCACTGCGAGCGTATATGTAGACTCGTATGTAGACTTAGTGACCACAAGAGACCCACCACAGCTAAAACCCAAATAGTTTACCGACAATAACCACCACAACAAGATCGATCTTGTATCTTTATAAAGTGTGCATTGGATGATGAGTAAATTGTATAGATTGCAAATTGATATCATTTTTCATTTAAGCGATAACATGTGAAATCGTCAGTCACGTAGTGAAGGTAGTGTAATAAACTAAAAATAAAACATCACAAAAAAAAAATAAATACATATATAAGAAAAAAATATTTTTAAGTTATAAAAATATGAATTACGTTTACTTTTGAGTTTCTTTTGATAGATTGCGCTATATATTGATGCGACTTGATAGCTTAGCTGAAATCCGCCACTGCATCACTTGTTAAAAGTGTAAATTGAGTTTCAAGTTTCGATCTCGTTAATATTCTAGGCATTTGTGGTAAGCGCGCAAATGTAATTGCCTCACTGTTATAAAAAAAAAAAAAGGAAAGAAAAAAAAAACAGCGAAGCAATAAAAACGCGACACCGATACGATGAGGCAATTCATATCACGTATACGCCCGGGTATTTTATAGCGATCATGTTAAGCATCATGTCATAGCTCCCGTCCTTCTTCATGCTCCATACTCCACACTACTTAGCTTAACTAAGCGACGCTGTACTCGTTTAAAGCGGTTGATACGATTTCATGAATTAACATTTTCAACTATTGCAAGCCAATAAAATCGATCAGTTCGATCAAAGTCGATCTTATACGTTGCCATGCAACTTGCAATTTACTGGCAGGCAGTGCCAGTCATACCAGACTCAGTGTCGTCGCTGTGGCTTGATTCTATAATTCACTTTGTTTTTCATGATTTTACGGATTTTTCACATTTTATTAGATACGCTATTTTAGTAGCGCTGCCTTTTATTGCCGTTTGCCGTATGCCAAATGCCGTATGCCGTATGCCGTTTGTCGAGCTGATAAGCACTTCAGATACTCTTTTAAAGTGCCTTCTAATTACACTTGTCATTTGAAATGCAGTCTTCATTATGTAGTTAAGACTTTTTAAATACTAGACAAATCTCTAGGATTTAGTAGCGTTTTTCTTGCCAATATAGATAAATGTGAGCACGGGTGTGACTAGCGAAAATTTGTTTGCTTAATTTTTGAAATATTTTTAATTAAATTAAGTATAATATATATGAAGAATTTTTGCTAACATAAAAATATTAAGTTTATTTATTATTATCTCCATACTGAAACGCCCACAATTGTGATACAAACGAAGAAGGTATTTTGAATATACGTAATTCATAGACATTATATTTTATTATATTACATACTTTGATAAGAATAATTACTTAATAATAATTGAGAAAAACAACTGTAAGCATGTTTTTATTTTGTTTATGTAGTTAATTTTAGTTTTTAAATATTTTTAATTTAATTTAAACAGTATGACGTAGTATTTAAAGCAAATTTTTAATTAAGTAAAAATTTATTAACTTGCTGTGTTTATAATAAAATTCCTAGAGTTTTATTACATATTTATTTTATTTTTGACTATAAACATTTTTGAGTGCAAGCTTAGATAATTTTAGAATTTTATCTGAGAAATTAAAATACTTTTTGTTAACTTTTGAGATAATTATTGCATATTATATATATATGTGATATAAGCATATTACGTCTTCAAAGTGTATTAGGCCTTCGAAGTGGCTTTATAGAGTGACGGAAAATATTGACATTGAAATAAATATTTTTTCTCACTTATAAAAAAATATAAAATACAATTGTACTACAATAGTTATCTAATATTTTAACACTTAATATATAATACTTTTTATTATTATATAAATCTTTTATAGTTTTTATTAGTATTGCCGATAAGCTACGTTTTCTTTTAATGACAAAGAAACTATTTTTTAAAATTTAGAGGATTTTCGATTAGCAAAAAAAGAAAGTACAAACACTCCAAATAAATCTTTTATTTCTATCAAAAAAAATTTTTATCATTCAAACTTCCATACAAACTTCCATAACTCGAACTTCTATAAATCGAATTTTCTATAACTCGAACTAAATAGAGAGCAGCAACAGGGTTTAGAGCGCAAATTACATACAATTACAAAAAATTTGTTTAACTCAAAGTCTACATAAGTCGAACCTTTTCTTTGCAAAATGGTACTTCGAGTTATAGATATACTCAATATGTACTAAATATAATAGTATATTTACAAAGAAAAAAACTAATCGCGTTTTTGATTGGTAAATTTGGATTCAACAAATCGAGATTAACTCTCGATTTGTCAAATTTTGTTGCCCACGCGAACATTTTTAGAGTAATCTAACATTTTTTTAGTAGTGTTAGTAGACTTTTATATTATTTATAAAACAGCTGTTAATTTCAAAATATTTTACCTATTCTAGCAAAATATCTAGAGTGTTATAAATTAATCTCGAATGTTATATCGATAATAAAATTGCACTAAAAATTCTGGATAAAAAATTACCCTAGATTTAGTCATTAACTTATGAATTGTATAATCCTACTAAAATTGGCTATCAGTATTGGAATAACTCTAAAATAATGTTTTGAACCATTACCTTTGTGATGGTATTATTAAATATCAGACACACCATCCTAATAAATTTATTGTAACATCAGGCCACGGTTGCCACTTATGGTACTTTAGTACCAAAATTGGTACTTTTTTTTTTATTTTTTTTGTTTGGTACTCATGTTCAAAAAATGGTACATTTTTGACGACCCAACTTTATTGTGGATATTTCCAATTAATTTTTTTTATAAATGCAACTTTGCACTATTTTATATTTTGTTCATTTATAACACTATGAAAAACACAGATCGAGAAAATAAAAAGGTCCAAAAAAATTTTGGACCGTTTTTTTACAGAAATGGTACCTTTTTAAACCAATTTTGGTACAGAAAAAAATTTTCAAGTGGCAACCGTGCATCAGGCGTATTAAGTATCATAAGAATATGTTCTCTGCAGCACCTATCTATAAAATATTCATATATATATGAATATAGATTATATATATGTTATATACTTTTATATACTTGTATATAGTATAATATAAAATATACACATCATCACATGTCTCAGGTGAACGATAATATATGCACAATATATTAATTAAAATCAATAAACTATAGTTTCAGACACACATATATATGTATATACTATTTCAATTGATTATTAACTTGAAATAGTACTTCTGTAAATCACTAATCTGGTTTTAGAAATCACTAAACTTTTTGTTATATTTTTTACCATTATAATACGATTTTATAGCAATTATAAAATTTATTATTTATTTATTTATTATTATTTATTTATTTATTATTATTTATTTATTTATTTAATACTATTTATTTATAATTTTGTTTTTAATTTTTGAGTTGTTACATCGAAAATATTCTAAAGTCGGTTTAATTTTTTATATATCTATAAATATTTCGGCAAATTCGCTTTTGTCTAAAATTAGGAGAATTCCTAATTTTATAGAAATTATTTATTATTCATTTAAATTTATTATATTTTTTCTATTTATGAATACTATATTAAAATAAGTTAATAATTTTCATATATCGCTTTACAAGCTTATGTTATTAAAAATTTTTTTATCTTATTATTATTATAATTGTTAGGGGTAATAAAAATTGCACTGTGCAACTGCGACCATTGGGTCTATTTTGTCCCTTTCTGGGTAAAAGTAGTGTAGAACCTACTTTACACTATTTTATTTCCTCTTCCGTAAGAATATACATTCTCAGGAGCCCATTCCATATGTGCATTAGCGCAGGGCATTCTAACAGCACATGTGTGGCCAACCCCTAATTCTCTTCACAGAATCTACAGTTCGCATCCGTAAGTATACCCAGTCTTGTACGGTGGTATTTTAATTTACAGTGCCCTGTTATGTTTCCTGTGATGATTCTAAGTTTTTCTTTTGATAGGTTCATACAATTCTGGTATCTCTTACTGTTATAGGTATCAATAAGTAATTTGAATTGTTTTAATCCTGGTATATTATTCCAGTAATCCTTTTTGTTCTGGTTCTTTTTTATTTTTATGAGAGAAAGGAGCGTACTATGTCCTAGTCCACAAAAAGGTTCTGGCCTCATCATCGGTATGGCTACTCCTTTCCAGGCTAGTTTGTTCGCGTATTCGTTTCCGCGTACGTTAGTATGTCGTGGTTTAATAGAAAGTTTTTAAAATTTTATTAACATCATTTTACAAAAAATAAATTAAATTTATTATGGTTTTATAGATGACTTTATATTATTTTAAAATGAAAAATTCGATATCTCAAATTACGTATTTATTTTTTAATCTAATACCTTGTACTTAATAAAACGAAATCATTACAAGTCTTATATTGAAATCCATTTCAATGTTCTCATACATAAAAATTAAATTAAAAATTGTTTTCAATTATAAAAACAACATGACTAGATTAAATTAATTTACTTTCACTTAAAAATAAATTGATTAAAAAATAATCAATTTCATTTACATCAAATGAAATTATATTCAATTTGACTAGGCGCACAGCAAAAATTGGTTTACCTCAAAGTGAACGTCTTAAATAAAAATTTTATTTAAATTATAATAAAAAAAAATGAAAAAAAAGACGTAATATATATAAACCGCAATAATAACAACTTAAGTAATTTGCTACTTATGTGATATTATAAACGAGTATTTAAAATTAAAACCTCTTATCAACAACTTGTGAGGCTTTCAAGCAGATAAAAATAAAATATTGTATGAATGAATGAGCTACATTGAAACACGTAGTAATTCATAAAGAAATAAATACGAGTTCGAGTTTATAAAATAAAGCAGATACTCATATCTTAATAAAAAAAAACCTGAACTGTTTGTCATAAAAGTGTCATATCATTATGTGTATGAGTATCATCATAATTAAGATTTTACTACCAACCATGTTAACAACTTAACAAGCAATTAAAACCCCAATTAATTTTTTATGTAAACGGACTTCTTTCTTAACGTCCGCTTATTAAGTTAACTTCTGTTAATATGGATGAGATTGGATGAGAAATTTATGCAACACACCGTTTCTGCACAGCGAGATACTTGTTAATACTCAAATGAATACTAATTTATCGTCGATAATGTTGCCGGTTTTATTAAGACTGGCACAAAGGTGGTACGTGTCTCAGTTCAACAAAATTGTTTGATGTCCTCATCTCGGTTTATAATTCAAATTAATTGTTTGTTGAAATTGTTGAAAATGTTTAAAAATAGAATAATAAACACAGTAACTAATTATAAAACAGTCCTAAATAAATTACAATGTGTATAAAAATAACAAATTACTTACAGCTTGGCTAACAAGATACAAGATACAAGATACAAACGCGAGTACAATACAGCCAAAAATACAACGACAGCTCAACTGTAAAGATAGTCCAGCATTTCATAATACGTTTCGTACGTTTTATCTTTTTAAGAGAATAAACTTAACATTTATCTGTATTATCTGTTATTTAAGTAAAAATTACTACACAACTTGCCGGTTGCATTAGTTTAACTCTTAAATACTCTTTAACAAATAAAAAGACTACTTTAAACTCTTTTTAAACTTCTTAAAACTCTTCTTAATTTGTATCTTTTTTATTATATTTTTTTTTTTTGTATCTGTACGTGCATGTTTAACATGATTATTTTTATTGTTGAATATTTAAGATATCAAAAAAAAAAAAAATTAACTGATATATGCTTTTATGTCAGTCTTTGGAACCAAGCAGTCTCGTTTACTTGATTTGTTTTCTCAACTACTTCGGTTGCTCTTGGCCAACTCCTGTGTAATAAAAAATTAACGAGTTGTGTGATTATAAATATATATACAGTACCACATATATATATATATATATATACATATTCATTTATATACATACGTACACCTCTAATTCTTGAACATGCTTAGTTAAGCATGAAGTGTGTTTAGAAGTTATTCTTTACATAAATTAATTAATGCACATAAGACTACCATATCTGTAACATAGATACGTAGGTGTGAGTATCTATTAGAACATATGAAAGAGGTTTGTTGGTGATGTTATTAAAATATTGATACAAGAAATTTTTCTTAAAATGTGAACTTATAGAACACAGAAATAGGCATCTTAATGAGTTAGCTGCACACATTGTGAACAATAGCGAGTCTGCAAGGAGATTAAAGTAGTTTTAGGTTTCAAACACAACGAGTAGAGTTTCGGAAATATAACGAGTA